TTATAAACAGCAGCCGTAAATCGGCGCTTCTTTCAACAACCTCCTCTTCCCTTATTATTATTATCTAACGGTGTCACGTAGCAAAAGGACCGTCGATGTATACGTATATACACTGGAGTTGGTCTCGATTCGTCATTTTGCTAGAGCGACAAGTCTCAGTTTGACATTCTGCGAACCGACATGTACCGAACCAAGTGGTCGCCGTCGCCGTCGTCGTCGTCGTCGACGACGTCGTCGCAACCACCGTCACCATCCCCGTTGGTGCCGTCTGATGACGAAGACATGATCGCGCTGTGCAACCTTATGCAGAGGTGCATTTTACGAGTAAGTATAACTAATCTAGAGACTATCTGCCTCTAAAGAGATACTTTTTTATTGTTTTATTCATCTGTCATTAGGATCCCCCAGTGTTTTGCTGCGCGAACATCAGCGGTGCTGCGAGCTGCGGTGCCGCGAGCAGCGACCCTGAACGCAGAGCCATCAAACGTCGCATTGCGAGACGACGCTGTATTCGAGGAGGCTTCTACGTGCCTCCTTTTAAACGCAACATTCGAGGAGGCGTCATACCTTCCCGCAATTTCGAACGCCCCCGCACCTTGAGGCGAAGGGGCAGGAGGAACGGAAGGCACCACAGACAATTCCCTACGAAATCGAGGGGACGCCATTCATCCCGGCATTCGCATTCCCCCGGAAAGCGTTATTCGCAACGATCCCTCTGGCGTTCGAGGGAACATCTCAGGAAGCGAATGTAACGTTCCCAAACGGGAGACTTTACTTTATACATTTTATTTTATACATATTTTGTAAAACTATATATCTTCCTGGTGATTCTCATATATATTTTTGTAATCACTACATTTTTGTGTTTATAATATATTGGTCTACGTATTCATAAATATATTTGTACATTTTTTTCTAAAATCTACATAGTATGAGCGAGACAACGCGCAATGGATGAAAGCGCGTGCGAGCGAGAGCGCGAGGGAGACCGCGTGCGCATGGCGGCGGCGCGGCAGCGTGCGCGTAAGCGAGCAAACATGGCAGCGGCGCGGTAGCGTGCGTAGGAGCGAGAACACGCTATGGGCGCGCTATGCGTGAAAGGGAGGACGCGCTATGGACGCGCTATGTGTGAGACCGCGTGCGCGAAAACGCGACCCACGAACGCGGCCCGCAACGGCGCGGGGACGCGGCGGGGGCCCCGCGAAATCATTGTTTACGTAAACATACATGGCCCATGTTTATACTCAATGAGCCCGACGCTATCATTGTTTATGTAAACATACAAGGCCCACGTTTATACTCAATGAGCTCGCCGCAATCAATGTTTATGTAAACATACATGGCCCATGTTTATACTCAATGAGCCCGCCGCTATCAATGTTTATGTAAACATACATGGCCCATGTTTATATAAACATCTCGGCGGTTACCCCCTGTGACGTCATCCCCCCCGCAAATT